AACAACAAACAACAAACAACAAACAACAAACAACAAACAACAAACAACAAAGAAAACACAACAAACAACAAACAACAAACAACATAATTGCAAACAACAACCAACAACCAACAACCACCACAACAACAACAAGGGTCCTAAGTCCTCACGCAGCCACTCACGCGACGTCTGACCATCCACTTCCGTCACTTCTTCACTGAATTCTGCGGCTGAGCGTCGCCAAAAGTCGGAGCCAATGGATAAAGCTGCTGGGAGATACATCTTCCTCACCCCAGCGGAACCGTCGCGGGGCTCCGGGTCCGAAGAGCGGGGTCCCGAGTTCGACGTCCGGAGAGCCAGTTCGGAGGTTCGGCCACGGAATGCGGTGTGTTGAAGGCGAAGGAGTTCTGTGGCCGACCGCGTTGGGGATCTTGAAGCTATCTTGGACTTGATCTTCCCTCGAAAAGCTGGCAAATATGGTAGCAACAATGTAGCAACTGATTTCTTGCTATGGAGTAATTAGAGAGGCTCAGGCTTGCTGTGGTTGCTTTTCGAATCTGGAAGGAACCCCCAGATCATCAACCCACAGCTCGGCATTCGGAACAGGCTCCCCCTATGGGCCAAGCTGCACATACTGGACAACACGATCTCTGGTAATATTCTCCTGCACAGTTGGAGAAGCAAAACAGCCTCTGCAATCCAATGTCCGAGACAACTCAGGGAAGAAGTGAAAGATAGAGATTGACACATTTGTTATCCACATGTTTCATAGCAGTTCCTTTCTCCTGATGACCCCTTAAAGAGAAACTCAACGTATGGTTTGTTGCAAACTCTTTTGGGCAAGAGAACAAATTGACAAACCCATCTCTATGACCAATCTCAAACAAACGACCGCCACCGCCACGACCGCGCTGGCCAGTCCCATGACCATCCAGGCCAACATTCGCTGTGCAAGCGCAAGGTGCGACAATAGATGAACCTGGCACAACGAATCCGTTGCCGCTGTGAATCCCGGAAGATTCCTACTTGTCGCACAGTGTGGTCCCAAAGGAACACAGTAACAGGATTCAGTCCAGTTCGATTAGACCATGGACGACGGCCCAGAACGCGACCAGGATCAACAAGTGGACATATGCACCAAGTATCAACCCAAGCGTGGTGGCACGCTGTGGTATAAAGTCTTGCACTCCAAAATGAGGCAATCCCGGCAACAAGTCAGGTTGGCTGGGTTCAGATTCTTCCAAACATGGGGCCTCGCATTCTTGCTTAAACCATCTTAAACCACCCAGCTAAGCAAAAAACAACCAAGTGACCAAATGGTGTTCCTTCTCAAGACGGCCGCCGGGCACACCAAAGAATAAAGAGCTGAAGGAACTCCACGGTCGTCGTGACCTTGAAAAAAAACGGAAGGCCGACCCAACTACGGCATCAACCCAAATGGCAGGGGGTGCCAAAGGCAATGGATCACGGTATCTAGAAGTTGCACCCATCACGGTATCGCGGACCCATGCGGACCCTGTACCCCGGACAGACCCGATGCCCGCGACGGATCCATTGAAAAACACATGGTATACTTCAATGCATCAAGGTTGTGAAAGGTTGATCATCATTTGGACTGCTTGGCAGTCACCGTGGCAGAATCAGACGCCAACCATTCGGACGTTCATGGCAGAATCAGACGGTGGCCGGCAGGTGGCCAACGGGTCCAACGACGGTGATGACGGGGTCACTTCTTGAAGACTCTGTCATATAATAGAAGTCATATATACCGGTACGCTTAAAACCGTCTCTCCTCCGGTGGAACGCCCAAACGCCACAGATTGGAAGACGGTTTTGCCGCACTTTTGCCATGCAAAAAGTCCCGTCCACCGCCCTTCCTGGAACCTCGAAGATGCTCAAACAATGGCTATGTATGGCTATGTGGCATAGGAAAACTTACAGCAAATTAGCGATAGTTCCACGTCTCTTTCCACTCGGCTTTCATAAAGCCTTGGGATAGAGAAGCAATGAAACTTATTGAAACTTCATGGACACAACAAACAAGGACAGGTCACCAAACACACACTGTCCCTTGTTCTCTTTCTCTACAGGGCCCGGGCCCACGGGCAAGCAGGAAAGCCGAAGCCGGTCCAGTTGGGGACGGTCAGGCCTTGCCAAAGATATGAGTTGAATCAATCAAGTGTGTGAAAGCTGTGGGTGTGCTCTTGAATGTTGAATGATCAGAAATCAAACCATGCCAAACCTACATTTAGCACATCTGACGCTGTCGAATTGACCATTTGTCCCATCCTTTAGACACTTTAGAGATCTGCAACATCACTACAGCCCAAACTCAGTCACCCCTGTTGTTTCATCTGCAACATCGTCAGGTGACGGCCTCCACTGCAACGCTGAACCATCCGCTTTCCGGACGCAGCGCAACGCATCGCACCCGATTATATAAGCAGGTGCCTAAGACCAAGATGAGGTTTCCCACCAGGTTCAAGAGCATGCCGATCGTGGAACACACGACCTGGCAAGCAATCGACATGGAGAGTAAGGCGTTTTACATGTCATGTCGATGGGTGGATGGATGCCAGGGCACTTACACAAAGGGGAAGAAGGCATCGAGTTGGAAAGTAAATGCAGGTGTTGAGATGAGACACACTTTGTCATATCTGTAAGACTCACCAAACACAACCAATGCAAACCACGTGTGAACATGGCCGGACATACTGGAATATGGCCATGGGTATTCCAGTTGGTTCATTCTTCCTTGGATGTTTTTTATTGACTTCTTTGTGCTGTTGGGCTCGACAGTTACCGGGCTGCGGCATAGCCATACTTTGAGACAAAAGCATCTGCGAGAATATCATCCCCTCCTAACGGGATATAAAAGTATCAAATTTGGGCGCCAACACCAACAATCTTCAAATCAGCTCTCATCATGATTGGCCTCGTCCATTTCCATTCGACCCTATCACTTCCGTGATCCTCATTCTGACCCTCTTGATACCAACGCAAAAGCTAGCTCTCTCTGTCTCCTTAATAATCTAATATTCATATCCTCCCGCTAAGAGCGCTGTTTGCAGCAGCTTCATGCAGAAGTATGACCAAAGTGGAGGCTCGATACCAGCCCGCTCTGGCACAAGCTGTCAATTTGAGAATAATTGAATTCTATCCCCACATATCCCTACCCTGGTCAAGCACATTGGTTTCCAGACTCTTACACTTACTCATCGGAAGTGACTTTTGGCTCATCCAATCAGTGGAACACCTCTTGTTCGATTGAAGAAAACAGTTTATCACTCCACGCCACTCCCTTGTTGTTGTGGTCAAACACGTCTTCCAGTGCCAACATAAACTTGCACAAAACCCGTAACTGCTCCCAGCTGACCGATGGTCGCATAATCTTCTGCGCATTGAAAAAGCAATTCAACTGCGAGAAACCTCAGTGGAAGCCGACCCACCTCTGCCAGATGGCTAAACCAGGACCCTGGAAGGTCATACCCGGCGGGAGCATGTAGAAGTAAGGAGTGTGAAATAAACGGACCACAAACCACTTCAAACACGCTTGGACCATCATTCAACGACACCACTCCTTCCTTAGGTCACATCCAAAGGTCAATTGACTCAATTCTGGGATTGATACCAGCTTTCAAGAGCGTAACCGCTGAAATCATCGCCTGTGCTGAAATCCGGCCCCGCCCAGAGCATCGTAACAATGTGCAGTTCCAGAAGAACCCTCCCATACAAAGATGCTTGACAGTGACATGAAGAACGCAATTGTTGTATCAAAGAAAATCAAACGTCTCCACATGCGCCAGTGGACTCCCCAGAAGGGCGCCTCTAACGGGCCAACCCACCGCGCCGTTGTACCCGTCGGTGCTCCAAGGGGCCGATACGAACGGGCAAGCAAATGGCCAGCACCAGCGCGTAGTAGCTCGCATCGGCGACTTCCTGGACGAGAGCGCGAAGATGGAGAGGACGTGCTTAGGATAACTCCGACGGGAAAGGAACAGCCTGGAGCTGCGAACTGTCTGACATAGATGTTTTTGGATCTTATTATTTAGGGATATTTAGGATGTCAGGTGATTGGATCATGCCATATCATGCCAAACGGCCAAAGATCAAAGGACATTGAGAGACCCACATGTTGAAACCACTTGGGGGCAGCTGATACTGTAAAGCCCATCAGCTGTCTCGACAGGGAAACAACATTAGATGACCAGTGAGCCGCAAACACCGTGCTCATATGTGCTCATGCTACAAGATTTACTTATTAAGTAGTCAGAGTCCTAGGGTTTTCAAACATATCCTGTGGCTCATATGGCGCAGCTCAGCTCACCTCATATCCATGGTGCTCAGCTCACATGTCACTTCTTTCGTTCGAAAATCTCCTAGACTTCTCGGCCTAATTCACTGATGGCATCCCTCACGACCCTTTTTCACTTCTATTTGGCTGGAATTCGATTGTAGCAATGGCGATCCCACAGAAACCAAAACAACTTCCAAGCTGGATCTGTGTGTGTTGCCATAGTGCCCAAGAATTGCCACTGACACAGGATGAGCGATTCTCTGCGAGCCGTGAGCCGTGATTGGTTCCATTCTCCAAGAGGCCTGGAAAGGTGAAAGACAGTCCAAAGAACTTCCGGTGGGAGAGGCGTTTCCTATCTTTTCCTCAGTCCCCTGTCATCGGCTTTATGCGGGTAGAATACGCACTCCACCGGCCCCGGCGCTCCAAACGCGGCATATGTCGACACACGTGACGACCTGCGACGACGTGTGACGACGGAGCTCTGTCCCATCGCGTGTCCTCGGGAGTCTTGTGAATGGCTCGCAGTACTGGGCCCGTCAACAACCAGCATACAGCCACAGGCCTTGGTGGCAATTCTTGGGCGAACAAACACTGACTCTGCATGCGTTGTTCGTGTGTCCCTGTCCAGGGAAAATAATTCCTCCAAGCTTCCAGAAATTTCGGTTGCCGTCCTTCTTGGGGGCACAATGGGCTGCCCGGCAGATTCACTATGTTCAGTCTGTCCCTCGTCACACCCTCGGAAAAGGATAGAGGACTTTCAGCTCAGCAGGGGCCCTTGAAACCTTGCATGGACATTTTGGAATGCTTCAGAGCGGCTGTTTCCGGGTGTGGAGGGTAAGACAGCTACCACGCCACGTGGACAGCATGGCATCACCGGTGGACAGCCCCGGTGGAATCGCTGCGATTTTTGGCATCCAAGTCACACCATCACACAGCCCAGAACCACATATGACACCTGGTTGAAAGCTGGGTATAGAGGCGGTGGCCCACACTGGTCGAAATTGATTGGCTTCAACGGCCATGTGGCTGTTTCAGTTTCTCATTTAAAAAACAAACATCCCAAACTTGCCATTGCTCAGTTGTGCAGGAATTTGAGCACAAGCCTCAGTGATTGAACATGATTCTGATTGCAAGAAGCAAGCCAATAATGGCTTTGTGGAAGATATAGACCCGAGAGTCCAAAATAGTGGGGCCATGTGATCCCCCAATGCAACTCTGTAACCCTGAAAGGTTTTGGAAAGCCGCGCGTATACAAAACTGTGCCCTCCTCTCCGCATAGCACTCAGCAAGAGTTTTGCAGGACAACAAAACCTCCCTGCAACACTCTTGTGGAAGTGGATGGCACCCCTTCTTGTTCTTCGGAAGATGGTCTTCCGAAATCGGGGTCAGAACGTCCACGGTGTCAGCATGAGCATGTTGGAGGGGGATGACCTAGATCTACAGTCAGTCAATGTTTCGTTACTGAGTGTTCAAAGCCGGAAGGATGTATTCAGGACCCAAAAACCCTGAAGAAGGTGTCAGTATGAGACACATATCTTAAGCTCTCCACCAGCAGCACCAAACAATAGCAAACATCAATACAGTCAATACAACTCAACGTTGAGAATTCATCAGCTGTGCCTTCGGGTGTATCTCAAAGACTTGCTCCAAAGCATGAACATAGCTGCTTGTCCAAAGTGTGTTTCAAACACAGCACATTGGGTGTCGTGCCAGTTCTCCACGCTGGAGCGGCCATGTTGCCCCGAAACTCCCAAACCCTGCAGCAACGGTCATCCCAAGCAACGCGCCTGCAGCCAAATCCCAACCAGCCTTGGTGTCAGTGACCAGGTGGGTAGCGGAAAGCATCGCAATGCATCACATTTCACCCCAACAGCCCACAAAGCCATGCACATCCCCATGCTGACCCGAACTGCCTTTCATGGCCAGCGCCATCGCCATGCGAAGCTCAGATGAAGAACCGAGTCTAAACTCTAGACTCTCAACAGCGATGACACCACCAAGCGAACTGAATTCAGCCACCTCCCTTCGAGACAAATGGCGCTTTGTTGCCGGCGCCATAGGCTTGTCCACAGAAAGTGCTTACCTGGAGTCAGGCTGCTCATGGCAAAAGAAGTGCAAAGTTCATTAGACCACAACACAATACTCACCATCTCAATCTCCCGATTCAGAAGTGGTAGGCCTCCACCCATCTCCCTTCTGAAAGTGGAAAATGTCTGAACTTCGAAAGACCTAGATCCATTTTGAGGGCTTCAAAAGGGAGACTCAGACTCCAAAACGGCACAAAAAGAACAACCTTTGAGTTTAGTTTACATCCTCCAAGCTTCCCAAAGCTCTTGAGGATTTCTTCGAGCACTGAATACTGGGTGTTGCACAACACAAACAACATCAAGTCATCTCATCTGAGATGATCATCTTATCACCCAACCTGGGGCTCAGGCAACTCTGGATTGGATGAAAACACCGCTCGATGCGGTCCTGCCAACGGGCTCTGCCAAGGGGTGCCAACTCATGCAAATCTCAAATTCTGCGCACCTTCCGGTCGGGTGGGATGTCAGAACCCCAACACTTTTCATACGTGCTTCATTGGTTGGACACATGTTCCTCTATCGAGTCCTGGTCCTGAGCCTTTGGAAGGCGAAGGCTGTGGACCTTCACTTGCCAAGAAGTTGTTTGTGAAGAAGGGGTGCCTTTTCAACGTTGAATCTACTAGGACTTACATGACCTTACTAGGAGTGAGACTGCAAAGTCCGAGAACTCCTCTTGCAAATAGATCAAATTATGTTATAGATAGTGACCCCCCAAAAGCACAGGAACATCGGAACATCATCAGCTAATATCAAATGCACTTGAATGTAGGTTCCTCCAGTCTTAGACTTAAAGGTGTGGTACAGCTCTGGTCATTGAGAAAGTAGGACAAGAAGTGCCGAGCCTGTTTACAGCAGCGGATCAAATATGAAATGGGCCGAAACATGCCGAAACAACCAGTGTAGAAGTATGTAGAAGTAAATGCCTCTGAGCAAGCAATCTTGTCTTGTTCTTGCACTTCTGTGACCTGACCTTGATGAGATACCGTTAAGTCCTGGTACCCCAGGCATATAACGACCCTATTCATTCATCACCTTACAACATAATTACAAGGAACACGCAAACCTAACACAGATGCTGGTGGACAGTGGATGAACACCTCAAAGCGACATGTCGTCGTAGCATCGCCCCTAAAAACATCAAACAACAACAACAACAACAACGGTCCAGCACCAGCCGACCAACCACCGGAACAAGCCGCGGCCGAGCCGGAAAGAATCCAACCATATCCAACCACCGGCTTAGCGGACGGTCCAGAGGTCACTCAGCGCACTGGCATCTAAGTAGCGCGGCGTCGGCTCACGGCCCACGTGGCCCAAGACCGCGGTGTCGGTGACCTGCGTCGGGGCAGGCGAAGGCGTGGAGCGCGGGGAGCGCGGGGAGCGCGTGGAGCGTGGGAGGGAGAGCGTTCGGGAGTCGCTCCACGCCTGGGCCGAAAGCGGGGGGAGTTTTCGTTGAGTTTTTGGGCGTGGTGTGTCTTTTCTCCATGAAAAAAGGCACTGGTGGTGGAATTCCAACGAGGGAGGAAGGGCTACCGCTGATTTCTTTGGAAGGAGTGGGGATGGTACTTTGCCGACGCAAACACAAAGACAGGTGTTGTTTGGCAGGTCAACATTTCAGTGATGCACACAGCAGTCACATTATGCCATTGCATTGTAGTTTAGGAAAAAGCAACCAAGGAATTGAGAGACATTGAGAGAACCGAAGAGGACAAACAAAGGAGGCAATTTGCTCTCTTGGCGCCAAAAGAATGAAACAACAACGACCACACTGTTCAACACCACAGTGGATACCAAGCCCGGTCACAAGCTTCCTTGAATCCTATGAGCTGAGTTAAGGCACTGGTCAAGGCCGGTTGGACTCCAACGCTTTGCATCCTTCCTCCCACGGCGGCTTCCGCTTCGTCCGGAAACGGCGCCGATTCTCCACGCAGCGGAAACGGCCCCCGTTCTGCTTGGGTGGAACAAAGACATACCCAGACACTCCATGGGACTGGAAGATGTGCACCATTGACCCCCAAAACCACCACCACCCCTGGACGTTTCGGCAGTCCGGACTGGCAGTCCCAGACGCGTCGCGTTTGGGACTGCGGGTGTGTCCGATGCTCCGGACCGTCGAGACCGAGACGTGAACGATTTCGGAGAGACATCGAGGCATCGGCGGTCGATCTGGGTGGAGTCATTCCGGTTTCGGTAGGTTTCCATGTGCCATAGCAAATTGGGGAGGTGGAATGAATGTTTTGTGCGGAGAACAGCCCCAACGTCCAAGTTTTAGCCGGTGCCGACCGCCTGCCTTCATGGCCACCCACGACACCTAGAGAGGTTCGAAGTCAAACGATAAAAACACCCAACAAACGATCAACAATTGAATCGTGTAATCAATATTACGCTCATTGGGTTTTGCTGTTTGCCTTGCCAGCTGCTTTCTCTCATGCCAGGTAGCTGTTCCCGGGTGTTCCTAACAGGTCCTGTGGCAATCCCTTGGATCCCGGTGCGTTTGCATGAGAATTCCCTGCTCGTGCGGAGACGGATAGGTCTGCTGGGCAGTCGTGAACATTGGAGAGAGGTGAGATGAACAACATCTGCGGATGATATAGATATCAATTTATTGTCAACATTAACAGTTTAACAACATTAATATTAACGTTAGTATTGATAATATACTGATATCAATATAAATCGATATAGTATCGGTATTAGATTGGGGAGACACCGAAAAAAGACCTCAGGGAAAATCATCAAACAAACCAAATACATTGGTTGGGTGCCTCTATTAAATACACATCCACACTAAGCAACTAAGCTTTTGCCATCCTCCCATTTCTTCTTGACGGGATCCTTTGAGCAAAGCCAAATCGGTTTTGCAGTTTTTTGGCAGTCCACGCTTCTTTTGGCATGGTATATAGTGTGTCTCAATGGGCATTAGTCAGCCAAAAAGTGCGCGCTCAAACACCTCCGGGTGGTTGCCCTGGAGACTCTGAAATGCTATCCACGAGGTTCTGCAAACAAGAGATCAAAAGGGCATCAAAACCGCATCAAAACGCTTCTGCCATGTTCTGCAAAACGTTCTGATCGACGTGACCTGCGAGTTCGTCTGATCGAACCTTCTGGTCTGACCCGGACACTTCACGACGGTGAATTGAACCAAATCCCCGGTCGACTTCGAACCTGGGAGACCCGATCGGACGACAGGTCGAGATTCTCTATACAGTGGGCCATCAGAGTAGATGGCGCAATTCCCAAGAGGTGGTTTATGAGGACCCCCATATAAAAGACATCTTGGGGTCTGTGCCCATCTACTCTGAAACCACTATATCAGTTCGAGAACAACCTGGGAGATAGTTCGAGAAAAGAGTTCGAGGTAGTGGATATTCTTGGTATCAGGTGTAGGATTTGCTATTGGGCTCTGTGACAGGCTGACAGGTCAGCCTCGTCACCAATGGTTTCTCTGATATGTGAACGACCGTGACTGGAAGAATTGAGAGAAAACACAATCTTTAACCATGATTTATTGTCTTGAACCTATATAGTTCCAACAAAGGATACCAACAAAATGGGGTACCAACATGTACCAGCCTTGAATTGGACTCTCCTATCAAATTCCTATAATTCCTCTTGCCTACAGTGTGTACATATAATAAATCGTATAAATAATCATGTTGATAAGCAACAAAACAAATATGAACCAATCCAAAAACATGACCGATGTATACTGATGTTGGATGTTCTCATATTCGTTCTTGATGACTACAGCTCCAGAGATAATGACTATATAGTGACTATAGTGGCCTTTTCCGCCTCCCGGACCGAGCAGCTGACCCCCCCCCACCCCTTTTCCACGAGG